AAATCACAATGACCCAGCAGTCTATTAGGTGGGAGACTATTTTCGATCTCAATACTCTCAACTTTCAACAAATCATCTTTACTTTACTAATAACACATGTTAGAGATCATATACTGTATTATATATATACAAGTTACATTAGAATAGGATATTAATAAGCTAAGGGGTCTATATGAAAATCCAGAATAGTACAAAAGAATAGAACTTTGGAATCTCTGGAAAGACTTTTGAGCCTTTGAACAACCTTAATGATAGAAATCCTGTCAACAGGAAAAATGTCAGGACAGTCCACGAGATCCTACTGGTTGGTTGATGAAAGATTTTTCTGAAACTCTGAGTTGGAACAACTAACGTAACCTTAATGATTAAGGAATCGAGGACGATATCATAAACTCACTTGGCGTATGCGTGTGGAAATGCATGCCACACATAATAATGTTACGTAGTTTCGGAAAATTTCCAAATTAAAGATGTACGTAGGATTGCATTTTTCAAATTGGGATATGATAGACTCCATAATTTTATAGGGTCATCAAAATTCAGTTGATTTAGTCTCACCTATTCCTAAAATAAAAAAATTCAGTTCAGTATGCAAAATTTTTTGAGATAAAATTTTGTTGGGCGGAGGCTGATATAGGGCCTTAAAGGTCAAGTCTAACATTTAATTTCAAAAATGTGTGGCGATATAAGGAAATAAAATTGCGTATTCGCTACGAGCTATAACTTTTGGAGTAATAAGTGCTTAATTCTAATAAATGATATCTGATCTAAATCACGAGTTTGGGTCCCAGCAATAACAGTCGTATGAGAGCGAGGGAATTGGTGGGCCAAGACCGAGTCCATCACCCAAAATTAATGAAGGAACTTGAGAGCCTAAGTTGATGTCCCTAATAATGATAATAGCCACTGCACCCTACCTATTAGAGGAGGGAAGAGCTAGCAATCATTACATCATGGACATGGTCTTTATTGTAAGGTGAACTACTTATTATATTATCGTGGACATAATTTACATTGGAAGGTGGACTTATGACATACATGCATGTTCATTTTTGCTATACTAAAAATTGGTACAGGTAAGGTGGACTAGTTATTATATTGTGAACATGATATACATTAAAATGTAGACTGTTGACATACATGTGTATTCATTTTATTAAACTAAAAATTAATTTTTAATACATTGAAAATCTATTTTTAGTGTGAGCCTTTTCTTTGTATACTATCTAAAAATAAACATCAATATATAATATATTAACACTTAATATTTAATATATTAAAAATAATATTTATTAATAGTTTACTTTTCAATAGTTAGAATGAGTGATACATATAGAAAATGAAGAAACTATATTCAAACAAAGAAGTCAAGTTGATTGGTTAACTTTGTGGTTAAAAGACATATAACTATAACTTTTTTCCAAATGGAATGTCAAACTGTCAAAGGTTTAAATATCAGTAACACTTTTAATTTTGAATAAGTATTGACTGTATATGTTATTATATTGTATGGGCTATATTTTCTAGTTTCATTTTTCACACACTAATTTCATTATAGTAATATTGAAATATCATTTTAATTACACTTCAGATTCATTTAACAATATACAGTATTGCATGAACTATTTTTTTAGTTTCATTTTTCGCACACACTAGTTTCATTATAGCAACACTAAAGTATCGTTTTAATTCTATTACAATTTTATTTGACAATAGACATATCTATTGCATGATACGCCATTGGGTCATAGTAACAACAAAAAGAAAAAGAAAAAAAAAAAAAACAAACAAAATCGTATTGGAATATGGTCCACACATCACTGTGTGAACCATGATCCACCATATAACAACTAAAGATGAATGGCTCTTGTTTTTGTTTTGCTTATACTCCGGACTTATAAAACGATCGGACCGACATTCTACTACACTCAAATAGTTTTGAAGCAAACTAACTTGGTGTAAATGAAATGATCCATATAAGATAACTCAATTTAGGTCTATTAATTTATACAACACTGTACTATTATTATTAGTAATTAGTAATTAATTATATAGTGTATATATAAAGCTTAATAGGACTATATTGGTTTTGCCTGCCACTATTTCTAAAGTCTTAATAAAGTGCTTTTGTTCCAAGCTGTCTTATCATCAAGAACGTACTTGTTGATTGCCATTTTAATTCACCATTTCATATGAAGTGTAAAAGTTGGGACAAAAATTATGTCATTAAAATTAGAATTGAGCAGAACTTTGGATAGTGTAAAAGTTGGGACAAAGTTCTTTTACTTAAAATATCTTTTGCTTAACTAGTTTGCCCTGGCCTTTCATAAAATGTCCTTCATGTTAAATTATCATCTATTCTTTTATTCGATTATATATTTTCAATGGTATCCAATGTTATTAGTTTAAACTTTAAACTTATGATATATATGCATCCAACAAGGATCGGACATCATTTCTCACCTAAAAACTATTTATAAATAGTAAATAAGATGAGAACAATAATTCTGGGAATGATTTTATTATCGATCAATTTGTATTTAAAGTATAAAAAGACACTACAAGAAAAATGCACATAGACAACACTAGAAAGACAACAGTTTTTAAGAAAAGTGTTGTCTTTTGTATAAAAGACAACAGTTTGGTCCAAAACCGTTGTCTTTGATGCAACACTTTTGTCAAAGACAACGGTTTTTACTTAACCGTTGTTGTAAGTGTGTTGTCTTTGTGCATTTTGTGAAAAGACAACACCACAACGACAACGGTTTTTTAAACCGTTGTCTATGTGCGTTTTTTTTTTTTTTAAAAGACAACGGTTTTTTTAACCGTTGTCGTTGGTGTGTTGTCTTTAAGCGCACTGGAATACACAACACTAGAAAGACAACGGTTTTTTAAAACCGTTGTCTTTGTGCGCTCTTTTTTTAAAAAAGACAACGGTTTTATTTAACCATTGTCATTGGTGTGTTGTCTTTAAGTGTACTCGAATACACAACACTACAAAGACAACGGTTTTTAAAAACCGTTGTCTTTGCACGCTCTTTTTTATTTAAAGGACAACGGTTTTTTTACCGTTGTTGTTGGTGTGTTGTCTTTAAGCGCACTAGAATACACAACACTACAAAGACAACGGTTTTTTAAAACCGTTGTCGTTGCGCGTTCTTTATTTGTTTAAGACAACGGTTTTATTTAACCGTTGTCTTTAAAATATAAAAAAAGATGTTAACATCTTATGTATGAATGTGCAACATCTGGTATATAACTGGGTTGCTTCTGTGTTAGGATGCCCGCAGGAAAAATAGAACCTGAGACCTCTAACATAATAAACTCTAAACCCACCAAGCTACACCAACACTTATATATTTAAGCGTAACATCTAGGATATAACCAGTTTGCTTCTGTGTTGTCTCTGAGAACAAAGACAATGATTGTATAAAATAGGTTAAAGATGCTACCAGGAAGGATAGAACCCAAAACCTCTAACATAACAAACAAAACTAAACCCACCAAACCACACCAACCTTTGTTTACTAAAGTGTTACACCTTATCTTTTACTTATAATTTTGGGCTGGCAGCTTTGACCTCCGGGCATTTGAACAAAGAAAGAATACAATTCAAAAGTTAATTTAATAATTATATTTTCGTTCATATTTAAATATAAAATTATTCACCAAAATTTCAATTTTAATTAATTAAAGTTTTATTTTCAATTACAATTAAGACCAATCTATGAATTCAAATAATAACAATAATAATAATTATCAAGTATAAAAAATAATAGATTATATCTATAATATTTTTTTAAAAAAATTGGGGGCCCTGTGCGGTCGCGCCGGTCTGACATGGCCTAGTACGGCCCCGGCGGTGCGGTGTGGTGTTCCGAATGGTGCGGTATGGTGTGGATCGGCGTAAGGGCGGTATGATAGGGGCCTAGGTTGGTAATCGATCCTTTCGGCTAGCGCATGACTAACAAGGTTAGCTATATGTTGGTAATCAACCATTCCGGCATGCATGGGACACGTGGAGAATGGATATGAAAGAGTAGTTGATATTGTACAGTTAGTTATAGCCCATTTCTTTTGCCGCGATCTTTGTAATAATTGGGCCGCCATCTGTCTGGGTAATAAAGGACAAATTATGATGTGCAACTGTGTGCACCATGGTGCACACTGTTCTATGTTCATAATTACCGAACTATATATTCATAATTTTTGAAATTCATATTCATAATGATTGAACTCTATATATATTCACAATTACAGAACTCTATGTTCATAATTTTCGATATTCATATTACCAAATGTTGAACTCTGTATTCACAAATCACAAAACTTTAGTATAGAAATTATGAATCTACAGTATAAAAATTTTGAATATTTACACTACAAAAAAAAAAAAAAAAAAAAAAAACAATTTTTAGTGACAAAAATTTAGTGATGGGTAGAAAAACCCCTCACTAAATGTATTATTTGTATAATTTTTGTGAAAGTAAAAAATTACTCTAATTAAAAGTTTATGATTTAGTGACAAAATTTTAATTATATATTTATTTTAAAAGTATACTCTGACTATTGACATGAAAGATATTGTTACCATCATCATTATCTGAAAATTATTTCACTCAAATCTCATTCCCACCAAAACCTTATTTTTAGGCGCCCAAGTCTAATTGCTTCTAAAACACTAGTACAAAATTGAACATACCACCGGCTTCGCACCCATCGCACAGCTACCACCGGCTTCACGTCACACCCACCACCGTTCACAGCCACCGCGACAAAGCCACAGCCACCACCGCGACGCCGACGCCACAGCCGCTGCCACGCCGTTGATCTGAACCCCTCCCTTGCCCTGCGACGATGGCGGCCTCCCTGTGACGACGCCACAGCCGCCGGCTCCGATGTGAGTTTGTGAGAAATTTTAATTTATTGATTTCCTCTTGCCTATAAATAATTAACCATTCGCCTCTGCATAGTGTTCATGTATATTGTTATGTTATTTCATATTGTTAATAGTTCTTCAATATTTTCACTCTATTTTCCTCGTTTTCTCGTATGTATATTTAGGTTTTTTTTTTTCTTCTATTTGCTTGATTTTGTTTCTACTATTGCAATGATTTTATGGTATACAAGAGTGATTTCCGCAAGAATTACAAGGAGAATTTTCCTGATAACAAATCTATGGCCATTGTGAGATTTCTTAAAGCATTGCATTTAAGTTATTCTTAATACTAATTGCATAGTTGTTTGGATGATACGATCATAATGTTATTATTATTTTAAGCATTATCACTATTGTGTTTTTGTATATTAAAATTGAACCAAAGCTTCAATTGATAGATTATTTCCTGTTTAATTTCATTTAAGGTTGGGAAAGCTGGTGGTGAGAAATGGAAGGCAATGTCTGACTCTGTGAGCTCTGATCTTCTGCTTTAGAGTTATTATTAAGTTTGTGTATTTAAATTTGAATTAAATTGCTCGATACATCTGTCACACATTTGCTATATGGACTCTACTGTTAGGAGAAAGCTCCATATGTGGCAAAGGCATCACCTCTGAAGTCTGAGTATGAGAAAGCTATGCAAGAGTTCAAGAAAAATGTCTCTGTAATTCTCTTTGAAATTGATCACTTTTGATATTTTCCTTATTTCACATCATTATTACATTACTTTTTGCTATGATTTTCCGCTAATGGCTTTTTAAATTATCCTCTACTTCTCTATTGTAGAAGAGTAGCAGCTCAGAAGCAACTGTGTCTGAAGAATCTGAGCAGACTTCTGAGGTGAAAGACAACTCTGAGCATGAAGCAAGCTGTTAGGTCTGTTGCAACAAAGTTTCCTTTACTGTAGGGTTTGGTATTTCAATTGTTTCACAATTCAGACTAATTCCTCATGATATAGTCTACCGTTTGCATGTTAATGAGTGTAGTACTTAGATGGTTTTCATACTTCTGTTGAATACATACTTGACAAGAATGTATCTACACATATATATACTTTCTATTATGAGAATGCAAACATGTCATCATATTATTAAGATGTGTGGACAATATCAATCTTGAAATGTTTTCCCTCAACCTTTAGAGCAGCTTTGGTGGTGCTACATCTTATTATATACTCACAGGATTCCAGAATTTCCCCCGGTTACTTGTCTGTACTTATATTGTAACTTGTAAATGCTCCGTAACTATTTTCTATATATCAGATTTGAAGATCTGAAGGACCAATTAAGAATGCGTTTATTGAAGAAGCGCAAAGTTAAAAGAATCCAGTTTGTAATTACAAATGGGGGTTTATCTATAGAATTGAATACATATGCTTTAATCCGTCCAACCAATCCAGGTCTGATTTTATTTCTTCATAGTTTCGTGAACCAAATATCTTCAAGATAATTGATAACTAATTTATTTTCTTCTTTCTCAGGGACTATTACTTGGCTTGATTCTGTCTCTAACCTTCCTATAAAGGTAATCAATCTTAATGTCTTCTATTCTCACAAACAAGAATACAAGATAAAACTTTAGCCTTGAGATGATGGTTTTAAATGAATCAAAATGAACAGCAGTCTCTGGACAGGGTAAACTAAGTGGAATTTAATAAAGTTGTTGTTAATTGACTTCCTGTAGTCTGTCTTTGTTTACTTATGTGCAACTGGGCAAGATAGAACAAATCTTACTTAAGTGACTACTGATCATTCACGTGTTCTCATATTCTACGTTTGATGTGATGAGCATTACTAGTTTGCTAACAAATTAATACTCAAATTTTTAATTACTTGGTGACTTCATTTAACAATGATCTATAGGTCTGTTGATCTCATGGTCTTACCAGTGAATGGTGACATTGTATTGTGTCTAATTGATATCCTTGATCTCTAAGGTATCACCATTGTTCACTTCGAAGGTTGGTCCAGGGAACTGTCCATTCACTGTTATTGTGTTATGGGTATTGCACGACCTCTTCACTGGTGTTGCTTGAATATGTTTCACAACTCTAATCAGTATCTTCCAGTTTATGAGAGCCAAATACAAACCAAATGAAAATGAAAAATTAAATACTGAGAAAAGAGAGCATTGTTAGGATCAAATTCTTACAACAAACTGGTGTTTGTGAACTTCAGCATTTGCCAAAGAAAATGCATTTGCATAGAGAACCAAAAGGCTAATGAACAAGAAAGGGTGGAGCGATTTAGCAATGCTGTGGCTGAATGCTTCCATGTTGCAATTCAGAGTTTATCAGGTATGGTAGATATATGTTTTATGCTTTTACTTGGTGAAGAGAAAAGTATCAAGGCCTTTCTTTTATACAGGGGATGAGGTTGGTAGATTTGATTTCAGAATGATTGTCAGCTTAAAGGGCAGACTTAGTTCAACCCTATAGGAGCCGGTGCATCCACTAACCTATCAAACTACTAAATTCTCATAATACTTTGCTTCCATTAGATCTAATATAATCTGCCAGGTTCATAACTTTTGCATTTATGGAAATTTGTTGGCAGCATCTCTTTTGTTGTGGCTGGATTAGTTGATGAATGGGCTGCTCTCTTCTTTGAAGAGCTTGATTACATTAATGAGGGAGAAAATGTGACACTTTTTGTAGAGATTTTGAAGAAAGTATACTTCAAGGAGGTCACATATCTATGAGAAACATGTCTTTGTTAGTATCATGTACATCATGATACTAATTGAGAGGCATCACACATGGCTTAATGATGAGTTAACTACCAAAGTCAATGATCTCATAAACCTTCGTAAAACTCATTCCAAACTTGAGGCATATACATGTCTGTTAAACTTTCTGATGTACTTTCTGATGTAAGTTGGTATTGAAGAGCATGTCATGCCTACTATTTATTCTTTGGTTCACCCACACAACATCACTGATATGAATGTATTGACAAATTCAGGTAGAGAGGAAGTTCAGTGAAAGTTCTAGCTCTTTGACATGGTACACGGACAGAGTAAAGGAGCTGGATTTGAAGTTGGCATCCTTAGACTTGGTTCGTGAATTTTTTTTGTAGTATTATGACTTGGATGATATATGATTCGATTAGAATTGTTCATGGAAGTATTTAGACTTGTTAATTAGTTCTTTTGTAACTACACTTGGCCATGGTGAATGGATAAATTGATTTTTATATGATTAAAATTTCAGCAGGTTAAAAATAGTTAAAACCGTTTAGACAACGGTTAAAAACCGTTGTCTATTTTACAAAAGACAACAGTTTGAAACTGTTGTCTTTTCTACAAAAGACAACACTTTATGAGTGTGACTTTTAACAATAGCGGTTTCAATAACACAATAGACAACAGTTTATAACTGTTGTTTTTTAAAGAAAAGACAACAGTTAAAAACCGTTGTCTATGTGCATCACTTTTAACAACACCGGTTTCAACAACATTGAATAGACAACGGGTCAAAAACTGTTGTCTTTGAAAGAAACGACAACGGTTTAAAACCGTTGTCTATGTACATGACTTTTAACAACACCGGTTTCAACAACACTCAATAGACAACGGTTCTTAAACCGTTGTTTTTTCTAGAAAAGACAACGGTTATTAACCGTTGTCTATGTGTGTGACTTACAACAACACCAGCTTCAACAACACTTAATAGACAACGGTTAAAAAACCGTTGTTGTTTCTAGAAAAGACAACGGTTATTAACCGTTGTCTATGTGCGTGACATACAACAACACCGGCTTCAACAACACTTAATAGACAACGGTTAAAAAACCGTTGTTGTTTCTAGAAAAGACAACGGTTATTAACCGTTGTCTATGTGCGTGACTTACAACAACACCGGCTTCAACAACACTTAATAGACAACGGTTAAAAAACCGTTGTTGTTTCTAGAAAAGACAACGGTTAAAAAACCGTTGTCTATGCGCGGGACTTACAACAACACCGGCTTCAACAACAGAAATTATACCCCTACGACAACGGTTATTAACCGTTGTCTATGCGCATTTTTCTTGTAGTGAGATATGTATTTATAAGAATATAAAGAGTCTTAGTTAGGATATGAGTGGTAAATGATATATTCTCAATAATACAGGATCGAAAGAAGGAGAAGGAATTTTAGTGTACGTATAACACAAATTAGAGTCCTAATACGCCCCCTCAAGCTTAAGGTTCTCTATAAAGAACATTGAGTTTATCCCTTAGATCATTTAACCTTATTGTGGTTAGTGACTTGGTGAAGATGTCTGCAAGTTCCTTTTTGTAGATATGTAATTTACTTGTAGTTCCTTTGATACTAAGCTATTTTTTTTTTTTTTGAAAATTGATACTAAGCTATTTTGTCATGAACAAAATGATAGTCGTTGAGTTGATCAATTGTCACCAGAAGATCATCGCATGGTACTGAGGGCGGAGGCCTTTGAATAGATAGAGATTCTGTTCATCCGATCCAATCCAATTGACCGGCCAGTTTCGACAAGTAGTCTAATTAAAACCTTGACTTTGCCAAGATACTCACTCGTCGTCGAGTCTCCTCGGCGCAAAGACTATAACTGACAAAGGAGAATCAGATAACATGCCCGAGAGGAAGGTCCAAATGTGGCTTCAGTAGCATGCCATAGGGCTCGGGACGTGGTATGTCCCACGTGCTGATAACAATTCTTTATAAAACCTATATCCTAATATTTACTAGATAACATACATGTCACTATTGTAGTTGATTCTTTTATATATATATATATATATATATATATATATATATATATATATATATATGATTATTACATAATTCTTTATTAACTAATAATAGGATTAGTCAATATACCACTAGCTAACGAAAATAAATAGTTCCCTTGCACACCAACAAATTGATATTATATGGTAATTTTGTAGGGTAAAATTATCATTTTTCATTTTGAAAAACATGCATTTACTTACTAACCTATATTCATCACTTGCTATGTTCAATATAATCATCACTAGTTCACTACAATCACACTTTATTTTTACTCAACGAAATATTAATAATAATAATAATAATAATAATAATAATATTATTATTATTATTATTATTATTATTGTTATTATTATTAAAGGTATTTATATTCACTTATTATGTAGCTTATTTTAATAACATCTTTTAATTTGTGGCGGACCAATTGCTTATAAGTAAAAATAGTACATTTTTTTTTATTATTATAGATAAAGTCACATCAAAGAATGAAAATAGAAAGTGATTTTAAGGACAAAAGTATCAAACTTTTTTATTATTTAATTAAGACTACGAGTTGGCTGCCATTTTATTATGACTTATAACCGTTAAATATTTAATATTTTGTAAAATTTACGAATTTTAAATTTTAGAGATTACATTTAAATATTTATTGTTAAATAAATTTTCTTCATTTAACTCTGTGGTTACTTTTTTTTTTTTTTTTTTTTTTACAATATTAAACTATCCAATATTTAATTGTACCTAATTTTTTTTTGCCACTAGATGTTCTTCTGACCGAATTTCCACTATAAAAAGGCATTCAAACCTAATCTAACCAGATTTCGGTCATAATAAATTTAATACATATTTCAAAAAATAAAATAAAAATTATTACATATATTTTAAAAGATTTTACTTTTTCACGGCATTGCCTTTGTCCACATTTGAAAAGAAGTAAGTTTCCACTAGTATATATACCATTTACTTTTCAGGAGAATTTGAATTATATAATTTAGAGACTCTTTCTTGTGCATATGGGGTGCAAAAGTAAGGATGGGAATGACAAATTATATCGTGCACCGCGTGCATAATTGATTATCTACCGCGCATCAAAATGACGTCGTTTTATTTAATGAAAAGAAACGGAATCCGTTTCGCGCTGTTCTGTAAAAAATAATTATGTCCTTCAGTTTCATTTTGTATACACTGCAGTTTCAATTCAACACAATTATAGTTTCATTTCGATATAACTACAATTTCATTCAATATTTATACACTCCAATATGTAAAAATGTTATTTAATTTTATTTTATATATATTATAATTTCATTAAAGCACAACTATATGATCATTTCGATATAATTACAGCTTCATTGTACAATATACACTCAAATATGCGAAATGTTATTCAGTTTCATTTATATATACTGCAGTTTCATTTCACCAAAACTACAGTATCATTTTGATATAACTGCAGTTTCATTTGATAATATAAAAATAATACGTGAAGCAG